CCTCTTCAAAGCAGTACTTCAGGGAAAAAGCAAAACTGTGCTTAACCTTTAAAAACCAAACCTGACAACTTGCACTAGGTAATAAAATAAAAAATTGTTGCAATCAATTTTTTTTCCATTTCAAGAGACACTCTCAGCAGTATGCTTTTAGGACAGTAGGTCAACATTCTGGACTTCAACCTTACTCCATCCTTTTCAGTATTTTCTTCCTCAATCTCAATACTTTTCCAAAAGAAAAGTAAACCTGCATCTCTAGAACCGAGTCTGAAAATCAATTCTAGTTATTAGAAAAGTAACACAGGCACAGGGACGCAGATGTTTTGGAGCAAGATCTGCAACATCAATATTTCTTGTTAAGGAGAACCTGTAGCTCTTCATAACCACACTGGAGTTTGACATAATTCACCTTAAGAAACTTCCTTCCCGATTTTCTTCACCCCAAAATTTATCTTCCCTTAATTATAAGGCATCTGTGCTTTAGGAAGTGCTCTTAAAGTGCTCTGCAGTTAGAATGAAAAGCCGCAGAAAATAGTTCTTGCATACTTTATATGAGGTATAAACTTAAAACTCAGTCTTCTGGAATACACACTAATTTAATAAGCAACAGCTTACAGGAACTCCGTGTGTATCTTTAAGCTGTTGAATACTTACAGATATAATAATGGATGACAAGAACCATCATTCAGCACTTCAGGGAAAAGAGGAACTACTGACTCCAGTTTGGTCACTTACAGATTGCAACTAATGACCATTCTTTTATTAAATTACAGAATGTCAGATATGCTGTATCTAAAATAGAACATTTTAGACAGGAAAACACAAAGGAAGCGAACAAAGCTCATTTCCGTTCCCAAATATGCTTCTTTACAAAGAAATTATGTGCAATTTATCCCAGTTTGTCAGACTGAACTTCATACAAAACTTCTCAGAAGTAATGCCATGCTAGTTTAAATTTCTCTTTAAAATGTTAATCAAGGCAAACAAAAACTTGACTCCTCAAAGGACATCTTTAATCTATTCAGATAGCCACTAGTTACAAATGTAGAGTGCATCCTCCAATAAACTGAAGCTTTCAGAGCAGCACGATAATCCATTTTAAGAGAGACAAACTGAAAAGCCATTTGAGGACAGCATCTGGATATTTTTCAGTTCATCAATTCTAAAAAACAAATAGTGTAGCTTAGTAACCCTTCCACACTACAGTCTGAGAACTATGCCCACCAGAGGTCTGCAAGCAAATTTAAGGAATACATCCCGAATCTGTAACCCCATCTTCATCCCAAAGACTTTCTGTTGATTGTACAGTATCTTTTCCACCATCTCTGCTTCAGTGGACATGGAAGAACAGTCTTCCCAATATCTACAGTTCAGAAATTAATGTCTGCACAGTCTCTGAGTAAACATGGACTACAGCATCTGCCAGTACATCTCCAAAATTTTAGTGTAGCATTTATGTTGTATTCGTTAGCTACTAGGCATAAGGACCAGTAATTGCTCATCAAATGTTCTGCAGTATCCAGACACACACTGATTCCCAAGAGACGCATAAGACAGTAGGTTATCTACCACTTGAGGGATAATCTAATTCACATTACTCCATATTTACTGCAAGGTGACAATGCAGACCTGCAGTTTTCCCCCATTACTTCAATTCAAATAATAAACCACCATCCATTTCCTCTGCTGACAGATCAATTAAAGAAAGTATCTTCCAGGAGCTTTATTTTAGAAGCCCACGAGGCAGACTCAATAGTCTATATAATGAATGCAGTCAAACTCTACAAATAGCCTAAGGAGCCAGAATAAAAAGTAATAGTATAAACCATTACTGCACTGTCTTTGGGTTACACTATCTTTAGGTTATCTTTAATGGGTTCAAAACTACTGAAAATACAAAATAATTCTGGAAATGGTTCAATGCTACTTATTCTCAGGGAACTCTTGCAAGGTAGAGGCAAATATATCCCCCCACTTCCCTCGAACTGCAATACCAATCTAGCAACTCCTACAACAAAGAGTTCTCTCTCTGTCAGACCCACATATAGCTACTTCAAATTAACATAGCTGTTATAGCATTCAATACAACTATTTTGTAACAGAAGACCTGTAGAAAGTTGTTCAAAATTAGATATCAGCTTAAAGGAGAAACCTATCACCTGGTTATTTATGCCACTCGGTTGAAAGATATTTGCCTGGACACACAAATGTCATTGGCACTTTGCCTAGAATTCCATACCCAGATATGTATCCTAGTATGAAGTGCTCTGTCACTTCCCTACATGGTCATCTTTTTGCAAACACCATGTCAAAGGCCATCACAGTACTCTTACACTTGAGGCACAGGCATGCACACAGTCTCTCTCACCTCCAGGTCTTGACACTAACTCTGGGACATAGTGTCTTGCTCTTCTCTACTTGCTCGGTAGCTTTTCTGAATTAGATTACAATTAAAATTTCATCATTGTCTATCTACAAATTAGAATTTATTGTTCCAGTATCAGAGTTTGTATTACACCAAAGCACTTGTTTCTGTATTGAACATCCACATGACTTACACTTAAGTTACCCTCACTTGAAGCTGCAGTTGATTATATTTGCCAATATAAGAAAAATATGATGAATACTTAAGATGAGCTTGAGATTCTTTGATCCATCAGTTTAAGGGAGTATTTTAACCAGCATGAGCTTCTGCAGTCAACAAGCTAGACCACGTATCTTAAAGAACAGTTGTGAAAGTTGGATAATTTGTTTCTCTACATGAGAATACTAGTTTGTAAGTTTGGCCATAATTTGTTTCTCTACATGAGAATACTAGTTTCTAAGTTTGGCCTTTTTTTTAAAAAAAAAGAACAAAACCAAATTGGTTCTACGTGTGTTGGATTATCACTGTTCTACAAGCAGATTTTAAAATAATGCAGTAGTAACCCTATGAAAAACAGGACACCATGTTTGTTAAAGACAGCCTCATGTTATAGGTATGCTAGTCAGAGGTTTATTTCCAATTCATTACTTTCCTACAGACACAGGCCTTTTAAAGAGACATCTCAAGGCACAAGTAATTGATTTTATTGATAATGAGAGTATCCAGCAAGATAAATAAAAGCCTACACATCTCCCAGGTGTTTCACATACAACTTCAGCTTTCTTTTTCTTAAGATGAAAATGCAATCTCTATCTCTTCTCAAATAGCAAAGTATCAAGCGGAAAATTTTCTATGCTCTAGACACCTGGCAGAGTGGCAAAATCCAGCATTTTTCCTTAGTGAGATAGCCCAAACCAGTACAAAATACACAGTCATCAACTTGCAATTCTACCAATACTGCTTTAAAGTACCAAAAAAACACAACCCAAATGTATTCCCACGATATAAACTGCTTCCAAAACTACCATTCTATTGCTGACATTTAAAAATAGGATAACTATTTGGACTAGACATCTACTGCAGAATCTGCAATTTATCCAGTTCTGTCTGCCTCAAAAGAACACAGAAAACCTCAGTTGCTTAAACAAAATCTCACTGCACAACTCACGGACTGACTGCACAGTGCAGTACCAGTGAGCCAAAACGGCAGAGTAAAGTGACAAGGTATCGTAATTCACCCTTTATTTCTGCTATCAGCACTTTGTATTTGTACTTGTTCTTCACCAGCAGATGCTAAGAGGAAACTAGTTTCAGCCTTCATGAGATTCCCACTCTGAATTACCCCAGCCAGGGCTGCTGTAGCTGAATCATCCTATGCACAAAACAGAGGCTGGAGACAGGGCTCAGCAAATGTTAAAGTTTCTCAAGGAATGAAAGCTGGGCAGACAGCCAACACCAACTTCATTTTGAGTGCATACTCTCTCTCTCTCTGCCTGCTAATTAAAATAGGAGGATAGTCAAGTTTAAGGGTATATATTTATCTCCCCTTGAGACAGCTACCACCTCTAAAAGCAAAGTGACACTAGTGGAAAAAAAGGTTTGATGTACACCCTAAATTCTTCCCAAAGGAACAATCACTCAGGTAATAGTTAATAATGACCTATAAAACATGAGCATGCAATCACTCCTGACACTGAACAAGAACCACTTAGTTTTATCTGGGAAGGAATCAGAAACATTAAAGTCACCGACAAGTCCAGTTTAGAGAAAAAGTTAATGATATGGCCTTGTTACCAAAATGAAGGAGTTCTAGCTGTAAGTATTCTTCTATTTTTTTTAAGATTCTTCTATTTTTGCACTCCTTCCAAATAAAGCTACACCTTTTAGGGCAAATCTGTTACCAGAAAGCTTGTTGCAAAAGTCCAGTCATTTAAGACTGGTACTTCAAATGCTTAGACCAGAGAAATAGGAAGCTCTGCTTCGTATAGTTACTTATCTGTGGTCTCCTATACAGTCAGAGGCAAAAGCAGCAATAAAGAATTACAAAAGATGAGAAAACAATGATGTCACATGCCAGTCATAATAGCTGAGGACAGAGGAAGACATTTGTAGAGACAAGTTGAAAGGCACTGCTACTACAAGTGTACGTGTTGGAAAAAAAACTTCAGATGAAATTATCTGAGATAATTATTCTTAGATAAAGAATAGAGCGACACTAAAAAAGAAAAAAAATCTCTGCTTCCAGAACTTCAGGAAACTGAACATCTTTAAAAGCACAGAAAAGAGTATTTTGTGATAGAAAACAGACAAGTTATAAGACACTCTGAAACCAGACTTGAGAAAAAAAAAAATTAGAGTAGTGGCAAATGTTAAAACCTGTACTCCAATTAAGATCCTTTGCTTTTAGACCTAGCAATTAAACTAAGTGGCAATTTGAAAAACAATCCCCTCAGTGCAAATGCACATTTAAGGTAATTAGACATGAACAGAAGCAAGACTGTTCGTAACTGAAGCACATACTTAGGCATCTTTGAAAAAAGTTCCCCCCCTCAAGGCCTCAAATCTTTGAGAGAAGGCCCCCACCACAATTTTACAATACTATGACCATACACGTACGTAGCACATAAATGAGTCTTACCTGCCACTTCTACAATATCACCTGGGACAATGTCTCTTGCTTTAATCCTCTGTACACTTTTTCGGTCTTGTCGATATACTTTGCCCATTTCTGGTTCATATTCTTTAAGAGCTTCAATAGCATTTTCAGCATTTCTTTCCTAAAAGACAGCAAAAATTTAAAAGCTCTCAAGGAAAAATACATTATGTCAGATCTGATTTTTCAGCTGCATTACTAAATGAATACTACTGACTCAACTCAGCTACATTTATTAATACAGAAAATTATGCGACCTCTCCCCTTATGAGGTTGCTGACTGGAAATCATTACAGCATAATTCAGATATTAGTGAGCATTTAGAACAGAGATGTTTATTCAAACCCTGCAGCACTTCCCATCAACAACATCCACTGTGTCTTGTTACAGGGACACCACACAGAGTGCTATGTAACATATAGATCCTTTTAACATAAAAAAGCACCAAGCAGAATTAAGACTCATGGATATAGTCTTGTCTTAGCTGTACCTTACCAGCTGGAGCAGTTCAGACTCAGACTCAAGTGGACTAGCACTCACTGATAAAAATCAAGGGTCAAGTTAAGACAAAGCTCAACCAGCATACAATCAACTTTGTTTCAGCAAATGAAGTCACACTAAAGTGAAATTGAAGCATACAGCCTAGAAATGTCCCCAGTCTCTTAGTTTACAGACCTAGATGAATCCCCACACATGACCACCTTTTTATTTCTACTAGTACTAGCACAACAGCTCTCAAGTGCAGCTCCCTCAGCTCAGACTGATACCAACATCTTGATGCCACCCAGATAAAGGACAACATAAGCAGCCAACAGTTTATCAGTACCCTTCTCTAGCTCTTTGAGAAGTAACTTATTTTCCATTTTCCAGCCTATTGACAAATACAAATGTCATATAGTCCTGATGATTATGTAATGGTAAGGGGTGCACATAGATTTTACAACGTCTGTGCTTCAAATACACACCAGCCTTTCCAGATAATAAAAACTCCCTCCTGCATGTTATCAAAGCAGAAACCTGATCTTCAAAAATTAAAAGGTTGAGGTACTAGGTACTTCCACACAACAATACAGCTGAAAACCAGCATTACCAAAACTACCTTGAAGGACTCATGTTTACATGGTGCAGCTCAGTGCCAGATGTATATAGCAGTAATTAATACCAACCTCATATTCTACCATGTAAATTAACTCTGCTCCTCAGCACAGTAATGCTGATATTGCTTTTCTGTGGATTAACTGAGAGTTAACATTAGGCAAAACCTTAAAGGTACAAAAGGAAGTGCCACAAATTGAACTTTTCCTTCAAAAAGGAGAAATAAGAAAGAATTAAACAAGATTCAGCTCAGCCAGCCAGCTAGCTCAGTGTGTTAGGCTCGCTTTTTGTTCTGAGTTTGCTTCAAGTTATGGTAGTTAGACTATCCTGCCAAGCACTGAAGTCCTAGCAGACGGCACTTTTGGAAAAGAGCACGTGAGAGGAAAGGTTGAGGAGGGCAGAGCTAAGGCAATGACTCAGTTGTTCACATCTAGTACCTGTAGAAACACATACATTTATGGGTGGAGACTATGTACTGTGACTTATTTTCCATGCCTATTAAAACAAGGGAATGAGTCATTTAAACTGTACAGCAATTCTGTTTCACAATTAAGTTCACTGCATGTAGAGAGATACATATATATCTACCTGTACTCTCTGCACACTATCATGTCTAAAAAAAATTGGTTATTTCCCACAACAGGTTATAAAACTACACAAGAAAAAAAAAACAAAATATACAGATAGCTTTACATTTCATACTTACAATTACTATATGCAGAACTCTAACTCAAAGTTTCAAGTTAAAGATTAATTCTTGCACAATCGCTTTATGAAGATTTGAATAGAAAACTTAAGGGGGCAACACTACCATCCCTTGATCAACATCACCTCTTCCCTCCGTACCCGCTCTAGCTGTTGCAGCAGCAAGCTGAATATTGCTAAAAACTGAATTTTTAGAGGTTTAGTCTTCACCTAGCTTACTTGTCTAGCACAAAGCAGAGCACAGAAATGCACAGCAATGCCACTCAGTGACACTTCTGGTGGCTTCCAGTTTGTAGGCTCCTGTCTAACATGTTTTAACCTGTTAATAGGACTCCTCCTTTTAAATTTTGTTGATGTTTTGGACAGTTTGGGTTTTGTTTTTTTGTTTGTTTGTTTTTTGGGGGTGTTTAGGGGGTTTTTGTTTTTTTTTAGAATGAAAGCTAGCTTGATAAGACAGCAAATAATTATGTCACATTAACTCCGCCTCTAAAACAAATACACACAACCTTACAAAGAACTTAAGCCACCCTAAAAACCCTAGAATACTTTTTATGTGCACAAAAACAGTTCTAATAAAACATGCTGTCTGAAGTGATCAAATTAGTAAACTAAAGCAACAGAATTTTTTTTTTTAATTTTTTTTTTGCATCTCAAGAAGTGTTATGTCTCTGCCAATACGATTTATAAAAAGCCACCCAGTTAATCTCACAACTGATAATGTAGGAAAAAATTTATGGTGTTTATATGTTGTTTTCAGAAATTTCTGTCTTTTGACAGACATGTGGTCTTTAGATGTACACTTAATAGGTATTATAGTAATTGATTAGAAAGAATTAATACTTTATTAAATGTATTAATAAAGGTACTAAAACACAGCATTTGCCTCAAGAAGAATCAGACAAGAAATTAGATTACAAGTGTTCCATCCTTTGTTCCTAAATTGGGACAAAACCTCTTTTCTCAGATCCAATTGATTGTTTCTTAGCTTTGCAAGATTTGATTTATTTCCTGAGCTCAGGCCTTCATTCTGGACTGCCTGGTTCATATGTTCACCAGCATGTGGCCAAACACACTGATGGGCACTTGGCCTTTTTGGCAATACTTCTGAAGCTTTCATTTTACCTTTAAGTCAACACTTTCTGTCCAGAAGTTTTATGGTATGTTGACTCTCAAGAGTCTAAAGTTAGCAACATGTTACTTGCATTGTATGAAGCACCTGACACTACACTGCACAGTCTTTCCTCTTAAAGAAAAAAACCCCAAAACATTTGTGACTTGATGTTGTAAAAATATGTGCATACCTGCCACACTCCCACAATTGCATTGGCTACTAATATAAGTAAGATTACAAAAGGTTCTACAAAGGCTGTGATTGTTTCTTCACCTTCTTCAAACCAGGCCAGGACCTGCAAGAGAAACGCAGTGATTTAAGTTACTGATTTACACAGACACTTTGCAAACTTAACACCCAATAAATTTCAGCTTGAGGTTCAACTGCTTAGATTTGAGCAATTTTTTAAATCCCTCAATCTTCCGAGGTGTAGTTTTGTAGGTTCATGAATGAGTTGGCAACATGCAATGGAAAAGGAGAAAGAATCTTTACTCAAGTAGTACAAAGTTCACTTCCAAGGCTGCTCTTCCTTTAAGTGAGCAAGCTATTTATTTGGGAAACACATTGTTACTTTTGTTTCACAAATGAAAGCAGAAGTTGTGACAACAGCTATGGCAGTGAAAAGTTTTTTAAAAAATTTTCATTACTGTCTAAAACAGAATGCAGACCAACTAGTTTGACTACCTAGAACACTAAAAACTTGCCAGAATCTGAAGTTTAACCAAGCTCATTGTTCTTTACCAATAACTTAAGACACACAAATGAAAACAGCTTTACAAGTTTTCAGTGAGTAAATATGAAAAACAAGCATCTATTTATTTAAATACAAGCAGCATCTTATTGAAGCATCTAAATGAATTGTATAGCAACATCTGAAGTAGAATTCTGGGCTGAGTAGCTAATAAAACTCAAATTAAAATTGTATTTTTAAAAGTAAAGCAATTTGAGGACTTGCATAAAGGGCTCCACATAGATTTTAATTCATTTGCCTTAGAATTACACTCTGGTTTTAGGCTTCTGCATTCATATGACTTGAATGGGTGTATGTCAGGGCCTCTGTGGAGTTCTGTAGTTACTGAAGAAAAGTCAAGCTAACACGACCAGAGAGGAAGAGCTTTTTCGTCAATGTGTTGAGCAACAGGAAGCCTGGAAAGTGACAGTAAATAGGAACAACGTGTTGAGATAATTAGGGCTGTAGTCAGGCAACAGCACTCTGAATCACTAGAAGACTGCAGCAAGCAAACCGTTACTAAAGCAAGCGCCGTAGTTCTACCAACACGCTGCTCAGAGCTATTGCTCAATTGTGAAACACTCCAGGATGTTAAAAGGAAGGAGCAGCAGCATGAAAGCCTCAAGCACCAAACAGACTGTCAAGCAAATTCGAGGCAACAACAAATTTTATTACAAAAGGATAAACCTTTAAGATCCAGGTTATGATTAATAAGACTGAAACATTCCAACTGGCAATACAACGTTTGGAGTGTCGGTGTAATCCCTCTGGAGAGGGGTTTAGTTGGGATCTCTTACGCTCCCCACATCTCGGTATTTCTTCCCTCCTCCCACACCAGTAATCTCCAGTCCCCAGGAACAACCTCTGCCACCTGCCCCGTGAGAGCAGTCAATACAGCCGGCACTGCAGTCACTCCACACATCACCCTTTGTATCAGGGGCAGCTTTTACTCTGCACCAGCACTGCTGCCTCCAGCGGAGCTACAGAAACAGCTAAGGGTAGATTTCCAGTTTCCTTATCATACATAAGGTAACACACTGCCATCAGAAAAGCTGCTTAGGATCTGTTTCTTCCCTCCCTTTCTTTATTGGAATTCTGTACAGCCCATTTTGCTTCCAACAAAGCAAGTACATTCAATTATTTTGTGATGAAGAGAGCAGGCACCTACAAGGTTAACTGGAATGAAACATCTGCTTTACAACAGTGCTAAACCACAGTCTTTTCAGACTGAAGATCACATGTGTTGTAAAGTAACACTGAGAATGCCCACAACTCAGAGCTAAGGCAAGTAGCTACAAGGACAACAACATCCAAGTATGTCAAGGAGAATGAAAATTAAGTTTCCAAGGGAACTTTTATTTGAATAAGCCATTATTTAAAGAGTGTATTAATTCTGATTAGAGATCCTGACAGTACAGATACTATGCTTTAGATCTTCACTCTTGGTTTTTGGCAAAATTAAATCTGTGACCAGATTAAAATGAAGTACCTAGTTAATCCTGGAAGTCAGCAACACACATTTCTCCCCCAAAAAGTTTCCACAAAATTACTAACAGTGGAATGATCTAAGCACTAGTTCTAGAACACGTGAGTAAATACAGACATAAAAATAACAGAATACATTGTGAATTCCTGGTTTTGTTACAGTTAACTACAGCTATATTAACACTCCATTTAGGACACTCATGATACACAACACATATTGCTGTACCAGATCAGGTTTATACTTTGATTATTATTTTACCCAAAGTAAAAACAAAACCACAGTAAAAACCAAAGAGAAGTAGAATAAAGAATACAAGTATTTAACAAGGCATTTTTAGTAACAAGAGATCATATGCTGCAGCCTGGTAGAGACTAGACAATTCTTGTCCAAGACAATGAGTCCTTGTCAAAAAGTTTCCACTACCACACTTTTAAGACCCTGGAGAGGTTTACAATGAGAGATCTTTTGACTACTACTCACAAGGGCCCCACCATATTTCAGCCCTAATCACTTTTAAGACTCACATGTAGAACAGCTTAATTTCCAGGTCATTGATCTCCAATGTACTGTTCAGGCTGTATGGTCAGTAAGTAAAGTTACCATGTACTTAAGAAGCTTAAAAGAGCAGGAAAAAAAAGAGTAAGATAATTGCTCAAGAGAAATGCAAGTCTGAAAATATAAGGGAAATTAATAGCAAGATGTAAGAGTCCCATATCAAGAGCCAACGTAAGCAGCTTAAAGGACAACTTTCATTCAGCATATTTGCTTTAGGGCTGCTAGAGCTACGGTTTGCAGAAGCCTATTTTAATCAAAGCCTAAGGGGGGAGACCTGCAGGACACTAAACCAAAAAATACACAATGACAGGCAAATAGCACTTAGTTCTCATGGCTATTTGTAAAAAGTAGGCAGAGGTAGAATGTAGAAGTCAGCCATCAATGAAATGACTACTGATGACAACAGCAAGAAGTATCCTTACAGCTTTTTGCAGTTCTACAAGTTAAGTATCTCTGTATTGTTGGGTAAGTTAGGGAGGCAAGTTGTCTCAGCTGACTATTTATCATTAAGGAGCAAAACCAGAATTAAAGAATGGAAGCTTCACCATGGAATTCTGTTGCCCAGCAGGCTGTACCCACTTACCACTAACAGAGGAAAAGCAAACAGTCTGTTGTCAGCAACCTAAGAAGGTTTTTTGTTTGGTTTTCATTTTGACAATGGAAACTTAGAAGCAAGCTGGGAGAATAAGATCTCATCCTAACAAAACTATGGACTGCTTTTTTTTTAATGTGAATTAAGATTTAGTATATCTTGGACAGAGTACTAACTATTTTAATAGTCCTGATACTTGTTCCATATCAGTTACACTGAACACCAGGAAATACTAAAGAAAAACCTTCCAATTTTAGTTCAATTATTCAGTAGTGATTCAAAACAAAATGGATCTTGATCACACATGTAAGTATAAAATTAAGAATTTTACTGGGTTAGCAGATTATAAGCACCCATCAGATATGCTACTCCATATTTCTGAAAATAAACATATTCCTGTGTTTACCATAGCAATAAGGAAAAAAAAAAAAAAAAAAGAGACACATAGCACCCACAGTTTAATTTCTACAAAGTAAAGTGGAATCACAATTAGTTCTCACAGTTTTATCACCCCTACTTATCAGCTGGTATCTTGGGTACTACTGAGTAATCTGAGTTTAGCTAAAAACATGCCAGTGTAACGTTCTACAGCACCAATCCTCATCCACATAGTCACTGCTACTGACCTTAACAGGTAGCTTTTGGGGTGATTTCAGGGTAAAGCCTGCAAAACATTTTTCCTGGCACATCCTACTTCCTCCAAGAGTAGCTTTACTCACCTTTTAACACAGATTAGGTTATACTCATGATAATTTACAGGCTATCATCATCTCTGGACTAAATCACAATGCACTGTTTTAATCTCAACACGGATATCTGCTATTAAAAAACATTTCCAGAATATTCACTTCTAAGTCAGCTTAGGAATCAAAGAAATAATCAGGGAGAGAACACTCTTAGGATGCTGTATTAATGCTTCAGGTTTTGGTAGTTTATAGTCTGTGCTGTATCTTGTAGAAGAAAATTCTCTACAAGTGTGATGCAAAGAGAAAATTGCATGGATAAGCATACATCACTGTTTAAAGCACATATACTTTACCAAAGAATTATTCTACATCAGATGCACAGTTAACATCTCGCAACTTGTCATTTACACAGCAAAGAAAGCTATTCTTTTATGTAAATAATGTAGAATTGAGTACATGCTACACAAGCAGCATTTTTGCAGGAATTTAAAGCCATAGTTCATGGAAAATTAAACATCCTCTTACTTTCACCTAGAAAGTCAGGCTGTGAAGGCTCTTGAACTGCTGAGATACACTCTACAGGTTTATTTCTGCACAGGTTTCACAGATTTGACAGAACATCGAGACAAAGTCCAAGCCTATACACACATCCATTTACTCACCATCAGAAATTATTTATATTGTTTCTCTTCAAAAGCCATACTTAAGACTGATAAAAATACTGAAGAAACAAGAGTGGAAGATAAGCAGTTACTAACTAGGCACATCTGTAACAGCAGTTCCCACTTGGAATGCAGGACACAGTATCTACAGCCAACAAACATGCAGCGTTTGACCCCTGCAATCAGCTAGGGTGACACAGATTCAGCTGTTAGTCTGATTTATTTTACTGACACATACCTGACAGGGGGTGTGGGAGTAGAGGACACAAAAGGCACTTTCAACACAGAAGTTTATATTGTGTTTAAGAGGGGATGTGTCTGCACAAAAATCTAATGCAGATCTCAGTGTTAAAGATGTCTGTGTCTCTGCAGTCATAATAATAAGAATCTAATATGATTTTATGATCACAACACAATCAGCAGGTTTTAGCTTCCACGACATAGAATAATCACCTATATACTCGAGATCCTCTCTCTCATACCTGAAACTTCAACATGTTTGGGTTTTTTTAAACTGAAGAGGTACAGTGGGTGAAGAACACTGCTACATTCACTGCCCTAACAGCACCTATGCCTTTCCTGAAAGCACACATTGTAAATCTGCTGCCACTAGCACAAAGTACATATTCCGTTTGCTCTGCAGAAAAAAATAAATGCAAATTAGAGTAAGTTTTCAGTGACACAGTAAAAAAAACCAAAAAGCTTTAAGAAAATTAAGTCAGTGCTACGTATTCATGCCCAATTCCAGCTATTAGTAACTCAAAAGACTTGGGGGCTTTTACAGTCATTTGTTCTAAGTTCCTGGTAAGCCACCTTTTCCCACTCCTTGTTATTCAAAGGAAACTTATTAAGCATCATGATGAAATTCCCTTTTGGACATACATCAGGCCTACAAGCCTTCAGTTAAAAGTTACTTCAAACAGCAGCCATTATCCAATCCTAATTCTGTTGGTACAATATAGTGTCCTACATTCTACTAAAGCACTACAGTTTATGGTCTATCAAACAATAAATCACAGCAAAAAGCAGTCACTGGAGTGAGAATCAGCTCTTCACTAAGTTCCCCAGTATGATTCTGTGGGATATGACACTGCCTCCAGAAGTCTTGACTCATTGAAGAGCAGCTCTCAACAGTATTACTCAATATCCAAAACCAACGCAAATTTAACTGACTCCATTTTAAGTCTAGTTATCCATTTCAAGATCTCTAAGGTACCAGGAGTTCTGCATGCCTTGCAGCAGTGTGAATGGAAAAACTGAATTTCTAAGGCTTGTCAAAGACAGCAAAATAGACAAACTGAAGTTCAGCTCCAGCGTTAAGTTGTTCGATTGGAAGAATGACTTAGCATAATTTGTAATCTCAGTATTATGTATAATTCCAGTTTTTAATGTAATATTTTCACGTGTTCTCATGGAACAATGACTGTTCATAAGCCTAATGCAGCTACATACTCCACTCAAACATTTTCAGGAACACCAGAATTTAGGTGATGTTAATTACACCCAGTTTTTGCAGCAACACAGTCTTCACAACTCAACAGTTCTTTAGAGCTACTACAAAAGTCTCTAATATGCTTTCATCAAGAAAAAGTGTTAAAACCTAAGAAAAACAGACAACAGATACCTTTTGAGCAGCAAAAAAGCCAGAAACAAACACAGAAGGGAAGTGCTTTTAAAATACCAAAATTAAATTATATCTAGTCTTTTATATTTCATCAAAAAGATAAAATCTTGACTACTAACATCAATTTATAGTGGGTATCTGTAACTCTTAAACAGGAGACAGAAGAGGCAGAGCAGTAGCCCAAGGTCATACACCACACCAGCTGCACAGAAGCAGAGAACCCAGATCTATCCCACACTCCATCAGACTACAGTCTCCTCTTAATTACATAAGAAAATTAAGCATACTGAAAAAAGCAACTGAACCCAGTTCCTAATCAAGTTTTCAAAGAGGGCTGGGCAGTCTATGTTATACAACCTCTGTCATTCTGGTATCACACTTACTCAGATTCAGCAATGAAAGCTTAAAGTTTGGTGAATTTTATTTTTCACTTAGTTGGTTGTAACAAAAACAAACAGTGTACCTTGGCATGAAAGGCAAACAAACTTCTGTATTGTCATTTATCTCACGAAACTACAGAAACATTCTTGACTTTTCAGGAACAAAAATAAGTCCTGTTCTCACCCTCTTGGAAGGGAAAATGGAAAAGAAGATAATAAAAGCTTTTAAATGACCTGTTTATTCCATTTTCTACAGCCAGCCAGATTTTCTTCCCAAGAAACAGAAGAAGAGTAAGGCACATTTGTCTCCGTGGTCAAGATCAATGCCACCAATGATTGCTCAGCTGGTAACAGTGTGTGCATACCAAAACCCAAAGCACTTTGAAGGGTGTCAGCGTGCAGGTAGCCGAAGCCTCTCTTGGTGGAGGATCAGCAACACAGTATATACTGCAGCAGCCACAACATGGCAACCCTTCCCCCATCAAACACTACAGCTTCGGAGAACATTCTCCTCTGCCCATCCTAATTAGCTTGCCCTTAGCTAAAGAGTCACCACAATTTCCACTCCCCCTCAAGAGCTGCAGCTTTTTTTTTTTTTTTTAAATAGTTAATTACAACTCCAGGGCAAAGTCTACTGTAAACTTTTACTCCTACTGAAACAATTAGATATTTTGCACGCTTGTTTCTGTTGCCCAGCTCCACAAGACACACAACTTCAATCTTCCTTTTATACTTAGCCTTTGCTCAGTTTTCCAAGTCGTTCAGCAAACGCATACTCTTTATATATTATGTAAAAAGATTGCCTAAATGTGCTTTTTTTTAAAAAAAAAAAAAAGTTAAAAGTATTCTTGTTCTTTTAATCCTGTATGCAAAGCAAGATGTCCATTTAATGACTAGACTATCCAAAGGTCAGTTACCAAATTTGGTCAACAATGGTGCCATCACAGCCGTCATCATTCTTGTCACTGTCAAAAGCAACAACTGTCACCTTGCTATTATCAGGAAGGGAAGGCAACTGGAATACACGCCATGTAAATTCTATTTACAGTCTGCACTGCATCCAAAAATGTCTTCCAATGATTATACATTGAGCTTGATAACGATTAACCCAAAGGCAACGAGAACGTCCAGTTAAACGCTTACTTACTCAAGGTTAGTTTTCAAAGCCAACAAAAGCATTGGGAAATCCCACCTCAAATAAGCAAACTGGGTTGAATGAGCAGCACTTTTTAAAATACCTGTCTAGTGTAGTTACATACTTATGACTCATGCAATGACAGGTTCCCTGAAATTTTGTTTTCTGGCATACAGAAACCTCTTCACAAAGCAACTAATTGAAGAGATAGCAATTTACTTTGCATCTTACACTTCTACCCTTTGAGAAAGAGAATAATTTCAGTATGTACGGTTCCTACACATTGGAACATCTGTCATTCTGTGATACAAAGCCTATGAAATAAAAAAAAAAAAAAAATCATACTTACAAAAGATATACAAGCTGCCAGCAACAAAATTCTAACTAGTAAGTCTTCAAATTGTTCAATCACAAGCTCAAGTAAGGTTTTTCCTGCAATATGTAAAAAGTCATTTAGTTATGCACATTAAAAAATAATGAATTATCAGCAAGAATTAGCAGAAGGTTTCATGCACACGCTTACCTTCCTCAGCTGGCAACTCTGTCCGTTGAAGATTTTTCCACGAAGCATGTCAAAGAAAAGAAATCAGTGAAGAAACACATTAGAGGCATCCACCAAATATTGTTCCTGAATTGTACACTCAATCGGGTTGGATTTGACATACATACTAAAAGCCCCATTAAGGTGACTCTTTCCATTAGATCATCACGATAGGCCTGATAGTTTTGCATTTTAAGACACGTACAGGTTAGCCAGAATATGCCAAGGGTTATAATTCAGCCAAGTCATCACTCCAGCCAGCTGTGGGACTTCTGCTGTTGCTGCACACAAAGGGTCAAAAGCTCAAAATGCTTTTCAAACGCTTTCTGACAAAGGTTCTCCTCCACATTCACTTAAAAAAAACAAACCACCAAACTTGGTTCAAAATATTTCAAATTCTTTCCTCCATTTTAAGGACATTTTCTTATTTCTGCTCTCCCTTTTATTTCCCCACAACTAGGCTTAGTAATTCAAGAGGCACAAAAGCAGTGTTAAAGCTAAAGAAAAACCCCCATCATATAATCTTCTCATAGCTTTACATTTTTACACAACAGTATGGGAGTTCAAAAGGGACTAGGAAAACCAAGCAATAAGGATTAAAGAAAAAAGAAACCCCTTATCGGCTGAATTCTGTGCCTCAACTCGAAAGAATGTAAAATAAGGGACAGAAAGACACTGAAAAGCAGGGAAAAATGAAGGTCAAGACGGACAAAAAGAAAAACCCACTGAGCTTCATTTCAGAACGGCAGATCTCCCACCGTTAAGGTGAAAGGAAGCGGAGGTGACATCCTCCTTCCCACAGCAGCCCTGTGAGCTTGGGGTATGAAAGAAACCCACGAGGTGGAGTTCAAGTCAGCCATCTTCTCTCCCTCGCTCCTATTCCGGGTCCTGTAAGAGATGCCGGCTTTGCAAATACAGACACTTTAGGCCTTGAAACAGGGCCCCGGGAAGGATGAGCGAAAAAGAGAAGGGGGTGGAAAAGGGAGGAGAGAAGGGGGGG